CTGCTGAAGACAAAAAGAACAGCAGTGCTAAAGAAAAGGGTATACCTGGTTCCCAAGGTGGATGCAGTTGAAAGCTTACACAAGTTGCCTTAAAACCAAACAAAACCAATACAACCCAGTTGAGCCAATCTCCATACAATGGGGTTATTGCATCAACTGTTCCATTCCCAGGGCAGAGCTCCCTGAAGGACCTTTAGGATCTAGTTCTGTTGTCCAACGGAGTGCTTTAGGACAGAACTGGTAACTGAAGGTTCCCTTACTGTAGTCCCCAAATTCCAATTCAAACCCTCTTAAAGTCCAGTGTCGGGCTTCCCTGGTGGCGCAGTGGTCTTTAGAGTCATCAACCTACTTTCTCCAACCTCCCACAGCCATGAAATTAGCTTACAGCAAGACAGGCGAATTCACAAAACAAGAAAAATAAGCATCCCCAGTGGTTGAGAGCAGAGCAAGGCTTCTGTAACTAGAACAAGTCCTCTTTTTCCATTTCTTTTTTATTTGATTGAAGTATAGTTGGTTTACAATGTTGTGTTAATTTCTGCTGTACAGCACAGTGATTCACTTATATACATATATATACATTCTTTTTCATATTATTTTCCATTATGGTTTATCACAGGATACTGAATATAGTTCCCTGTGCTATACAGTAGGAACTTATTGTTTATCCATTCTATATATGATAGTTTGCATCTGCCAATCCCAGTCTCCCAAACCCGTCCCTCCCCCACTCCCCATACCCCTTGGCAACCACAAGTATATTCTCTGCCTGTTTGTTTCACAAATAGGCAGAACAAGTCCTCTTGATCTAGACCCTGCAGTGCCGTTTAGAAAAGGATCCTTTATCATCATGTGTGTTAGTAGATGTAGAAAATAACTATACAAGCCTAAAAGCAACTGTGTACCTGGGATGTCTTCTACTAATGGACTGCTACACTGCCTTTTCACTATTATTACTGATAAGGCTTTTTAAGAAGAGAAAACAGGGAGAAGTTTGGAATTTTTTAACTTATCAAAATCCTTCTTAGACTCTGGCCAAGTCACTCCTAACCCTTCTTTACCTCTGTTGTCCCCTTAGCTCGCAGAACCACTGAAAATGGTTGAGAGACACTCTGCAGTCGCCGTGGACGTGTTAGTGTAGCTGGTAGTGGATGTTGGCATAAAATCAACCTAGATTTGAATCCTGATGGCGTCTAGCAGCTGTGCCTAGAGCAAGTCAATCTCTCTGTCTTGGTCTCCTCTTCTGTAAAATAACGTCTAATCATGGCTAGCACATCTGTAGTGTTACCCGCATCATTTTTCATTTAAAACTTACAACAACCCCTAGAGGAAGAAATTATAGATGAAGCAACTGTGGCACAGAGAGGTTGAGTGACTTCCCCAAGGTCACACAGCTGGTACACTGCAGAGCCAAGATTCTAACGCATGTTGGAGTCCAGGCCCTAACCACCACACCTACAGCCTCTCCAACTGAGAGCAATAAATGAGGACACACCAAATAAGGGCTGTTTTGAGGAGTAAATGTATGAAAAGCCTAATTCAAGTGTCTGATATCGTGTGTATGTTAAAGAAGGCTTTTTTCCTTCTGCACTGGGAAATCCGTAAGGCTTTTTCCTGGGGCAGAAAAAAAGGTTGGAGGGATGAGAACAGAGGCGAGGGGAGGAAGGGGGCGAGGTGGAACGTGGAAAGGAAAAAAGGCGGTGGAGGGGGCACTGAATATTCAGGACTCAAGAAGTGGAGCGGGCTAGGCCTTGCGAGAACGCGGTGACTCCTCAACTGCAAACAGAAACCTACCGGCCAAAGAGCAGACATTAAACCGGCGCGGCCTCAGCCCCGAGCTGGCATCCTCAACCCCGCCCCGGCCCCAGGCCGGCTCGGCCGGGGCGCGGACCGGCTTCCCTTCCGGGCCGCGGGTCCGCCCTACGCCGGGCGGAGCCTGGCCCGCCCCCCCGCACCGGAGCCCGGGAGCCCCAGGCCCGAGCCACGCGATCTGCCGGCCGCCCGGGGCTCGGGCCGGGGACGCGCGATGGCGACTTGGCGGCGGGACGGCCGGCTGACGGGCAGCCAGCGGCTGCTGTGCGCGGGGCTGGCGGGGGCACTCAGCCTCAGCCTCACCGCGCCGCTGGAGCTCGCCACCGTGCTGGCCCAGGTCGGCGTCGTGCGCGGCCGCGCCCGGGGGCCGTGGGGCGCGGGGCTTCGCGTCTGGCGGGCCGAGGGGCCCCGCGCCCTGTGGAAGGGGAACGCGGTGGCCTGCCTGCGCCTCTTCCCCTGCAGCGCCGTTCAACTGGCCGCCTACCGCAAGTAAGAGCCGGGCACGGGCGGCGTGGGCGGGGCCCGGGGCCCGGGAGGCCGCCGCCGGGGGTCCCGCGGCCCGACGCCGCCCGGGTGCCCGGGATCCGGCCAGCGGCGCGCCACAGCCCCCTTCCGAAGCGCGTGGGAGCCCCTCGGGCCAGAAGGCAACCTCTCCGGCCTCCAAAGCGCAGTCCCCACCTTTTCCTTTTCACCTTTTCTTGGGATTCCTGCCCCGCCGGGTGCAGTTTTGTGGGGACGCAGCTCTGGCCCAGAGAGGCTGACCGGGTTGGTCGGGCGAGGAGGTGGAAGGGGGCCAAAGGAGATTTGGAGGGAAGGAGTGAAGAGATCTCCGGAGAGATGGCCCCTAATCCTTCCCACCATCCGCCAACTTGGAAATTTTGCTTTGGCTGGCTTGGGAGAGAGACCCTTTTGAAGATGCGTGTATGGAAGTGTGTCAGAGCCCCCAGAAGAACGTTCTTGGTAGGGGCACAGGGCCCAATCCACTGCGACAAAAAGGCCACGGAGTTCGGCGCTCCCCACCCCCCAAGAAACTGGACTTTAGGGTCCTACAGAGGCTGCAGCTTCCCCTCCCCAAACTGCAAGCAGCTCCAACCTCGCTGCTCCCTGGACTCCTTCTTTGGGCTTTTAACACCTCCCCCCCAAAACAGCTGCATTTTAGGAAAACATCTAAAGAGGTAATGCCAGATGACTCTTAAAGCTCCCTCAAGAGCTCAGAGATACTTGGATTTTAACTGGAAACAAAGTCTAAAAGAATGAAGCGATAATGATGCAATTTCAGGTAGTTCTGTAGCTGGGGGGATGTTCCCCGTGTTCCTCGTTCGCTGGGCACACTGCCCACTCGGAAGACTGGCCTTGGCTCAGAATTAGAGAAACACAGCCCACAGTCTTGACCACGTAGGTCGGCCTTGGAGGCTAACAGTCAAAGCATTTTGCCTTTGGCTCTGGGAGGCCAGAGCTGGCAGTCTCACCTGACAGCTGACAAACAAGCCCGATGGAATCTTCCTTATCACTGAGTCCTCGAGGCCAGTGCTCATTTCACCTGTGCCTGGGAATAGAGTTGCCTTCTCTTTCTCTAGGAAGGGAGGGTAGTGAGATCGTGGGGCATTTCTGTCAAGGCTCTCTTTCTTCCCCAGCCCCCTTTCCCTCAGCAACATCTGGCTTGCAGTCTGTAAACAGTTCTCCTCTGAATTTTAATGATTCAGTTTCTCCCCACTTCACTCTGCTCTCCACAAAGTATGGAACTCCTCCTTTGGAATGTGTACCACGGGGAGGGAAGCAGAACTTCAAAGGCTGGTTTAAGTACCGTGGCTTTCCTGCTAACCATCTAGAATATATACAGTCATCCCTCCGTATCCGGAAGGGCATTGGTTCCAGGACACAGCCCCCCAGCCAAAATCCCCAGATGCTCAAGTCTCTTACAGGAAATGGAGTAGTATTTGCATGTAACCTATACAGTCATCCTGTACACTTTAAATCATCTCTAGATTGCTTATAATGCCTAATACAATGTAAGTACTGTGTAAATCGCTGTAAATACAATGTAAATGCTATGCAAATAGTTGCTGAAGTGCAGCAAATTCAAATTTTGCTTTTTGGAACTTTCTGGAATTCTTTTTTCTGAATATTTTCAATCCGCAGTTAGTTGTGGAACCCACAGATACGGAGGGCTGACTTCATCTCATTGGATTTTTAACAGTTTTACTGAGATATCATGGACATAAAAATTGTATGTTTAAGGTGTACAACTTGATGTTTTGATATATGTATATATTGTGAAATGATCACCACAATCAAGCTAATTAACATATCCATCACCTCTACCTAGTTACCATTTCCTGTGTGTGTGTGTGTGTGTGTGTGTAAATCGTTGGATTTTTACAACACCTGCCTCCTGCCCTGTAAGGTCCACAGGGCACAAAGTATTATGCCCACTTTACAGATGCACAGTTGGGCTCAGATTGGCCACACCACTTGTCAGTGACAGAGCTGAGCTCCACCACCTGGCCTTCTGACTCCAATGCCCATGCCCTGTTACTGCCTGCTGCCTTTCTCTCTGCCTTCATTAAGTGACCATGGTGTGCATGATGCTGGGGACAACGCAAGATGAAAGGGGCATGGTCCCTGTGCCCCAGAGCTTACAGAGCGAAAGAATAAGACTAGTGTGTCCATAGCATGTGATTGCTAAGGCTAAAGTGCTATAGCAATTCACACCTCTGATGACAGAGGAGGAGGAGGAGATGTGAAGATGTCACAGTGGAGAAAAGCCATCGGAGTTTGGTGTTGGGAGAATGAGTAGTTTTCTGTCAAAAGATGGGGAGAAAGATACTGCAGATAATGCCACAAGCAAAGGCACAGAGGTGAGAAGGCATGCAGCGTGACTGGAGCATAAGGTGTGTCTCTGGCTGTAATGGGAAATACAGCCAGAAAAGCAGGTTGGAATGAGATCTTGGAGGGCCAGATTAAGGAGTTTGGACTTTACTTGGAATGCAAGGGTAGCTGTGGGGAATTTTTGATGGGGGAGTGCTGTGATTAAAGCAATTCAACAGGAATTGTCACCGGGTAGCAGTGGAGGACGGCTAAAGAGGAGGAAGGGTGGGGGGTGGCAGGACCACCGGTCGCACTAGTCCATGTGGCGGCTGAGGGCACCTGAAATAGGCTAATGACAGTGGGAGTGCAGAAGAGGAGATGTGTGGGAGAGGAAGAACAGATAGTTACCCAGGCTGGGTTTGCCAATAATTTTTTCCTGCAGGATTAGTTTCTGGAAATTAAAAAGAAATATTTCAGTGATAGACAGCAAAGTGGTTGATTAATCATGGTGCCAGCCTTCCTACATAAAGACAAGACCTTGGGGCCATCATTATACTGATTAATCTCTACCCTCCTGACCAGGAATTTGCAAAACAGTTGGTTGGGGGTAATGGTACAGCCTATGATTATGGGTTTGAACTAAGCATAAACCTCCAGAATGTTCAGAAAATGGAGTGGTTCAGTGACTTGTCCACAAACACAATTAATGGCAGAGCTGGAGCTTGAAACCAGGTCTTCTAGCTTCTTAGTGCAGGGCTCTGCCCAACATTGTGATGCTGAAGTGTCTCCTTACTTGGATTTACAGTTAAAAGAATCCACTCAGTAGAGTCTATTAGGAGCTAGGTCCTTTTGCTAAACAAATAAAACCTAACACAATGGATGGCTTTCAAATATGTCAAATAGTAGACCCTCACCCAACTTTATGCCACAACTGTTTGTCTAGCTGTATAAACATTGGTTTGGATCCCTGACACTCTGAAATTGCTCATAACCAACACCATTTCCTTATTGTGTAATCGATTCATGAGCTTGTGTTTGCCTGCTAACTCGTGTTAGGTTGAAGTGTTGGCAGTTGGATATTACATATATCCAGGGTGTGTGTAATATCCATGTGCCTGAAAGGGAGGGGTTACTGCTGCTCACCAGCTTATCCAGTTTCGCTGGAACAAGCTGCTGTGCAGTGTGTAGGAGTGGGAGGAAGAGCAGAAAGGGGAACACTGCTGCCCCACCCAGTCAGACAAGCACTTAAGATGTGGGGACCAGGATGATGTAATCGATGGCCTATCGGGGTGCCCTGCCTTGACTCTGATTGTAAGAGGAACGATTTGTAGTCTTTGTCTCCGTATAGTAGAAGTCTGAGAGGAAGGACTTGCTTTGGTTCTTCTTTTTAATTTTGTATATTTGATAGCAAGACCTTACATTATAAAACAAACTCATAGAAGACAGAACTCCTCGTCCTCGTTCATCAAGTCATTCAGAGAACCAAGGGCCGAATGCCTCTCTTGTTGCCCCTGTCAGTCATCTCTTTGGCAGGGCTGTTGAACTCTCTTAAGATCTATGCTGAATGCTAGCGCAGTGTCTGGCACAGTGTGGATGTTCGGTGACTGGGGAATGGATGCATTAACGCCCTGGGAGTGGCGAGCGGGATGGGGAATAAGGAGGAGGCAATGAGAATGAATGGTGTTTCTTTTGGCATTCAAACTCCTGCTTCTTCTAGATGGTTCCCGCTTGCTGCAGACCACCCCTCCAGCCAAGCATTTCCACTTCCTGTCTCCCCTCCCCTGGCTAAGGTTCCGCTGCCACTTGATTGGCCAGGGGAGGGAGGAGAGAGGACCGAGGGAGTGTGCAGGCAGCGAAACCGAGGCAGACGGACGGCCCACTGGTGAATGCCAGCTTAGTTACCTGCATCTTTAAAAGGTTGCTGGTTCACTCAAATGACTGTTTCAGCTGGTACAGTTAAGATAGGGTGACAGAATGAAGTCCAGACTTTCCTACAGCTTGAAGGAGATGTTTTTAATCGACCAGTGTTTACTTGGGAGCAAAGGAGCGGTCCTAGAACCCCTTCAGTGGTTTCACCTGAACTCTGGCTCATCTTGTTTATCAGAGAGGGGGCCCTGGCCTGCTGCCAAACTGAAAAAGCAGGAAATACACAACTTCACTGGAGCTTGGAAAGCCAAAGACCTGGGGATGCTCTCATTTTTAAAAAGATACAATACTTTTATTTTAGCCTAGCTCCGTTCACTTTTCTTTTTATTCAGATCCTTGCTATCCCTCTCCCTCTCCCCCTCCCCACCCTCCGACAGAAAATATTATTATTATTTTTTAAATTATTATTATTTTTTTAAACCCCACATTTGTTTATTTATTTATTTATTTGGCTGTGTTGGGTCTTCGTTTCTGTGCAAGGGCTTTCTCTAGTTGTGGCAAGCGGGGGCCACTCTTCATCGCCGTGCGCGGGCCTCTCACTATCGCGGCCTCTCTTGTTGCGGAGCACAGGCTCCAGACGCGCAGGCTCAGTAGTTGTGGCTCATGGGCCCAGTTGCTCCGCGGCATGTGGGATCTTCCCAGACCAGGGCTCGAACCCACGTCCCCTGCATTAGCAGGCAGATTCTCAACCACTGCGCCACCAGGGAAGCCCCAGAAAATATTATTTTTCCTGGTTTCCAAGCCCTTTTAAAAACTTTGTCCTCATCAGCAAGAATGAGTAAAATTCCTTTGCTTCCTGGCCAGGGAACGTGCACCATGTAAAAGGCCCCTTAGAACAATTTCTGCCGAGGTAGGCCCTCATGCCTGGGGCTGCACTGCTTCCAGAAAGAGGGATTGTAACAGAGTGGCTTTCTATTCTGCATTTTAAAAAGTCCACCCAAAGCCATTTCTTTACTAAATTGTGAAACTGCAGAGAAACACAGAGAATAGTCTAGCAAACATTCATATACCCACCGTGCAGAATTGACAGCATGAAAGGTAATTAGTTTAAAAGGTACTTCAAGTATCTTTTTTTTTACACAAGAAATAAAATATTACAGATGAAGCTGAAGTCCCCTTCATTCTGAGTCCCAGAGTCCCATCCACTCTCCACCTTCCTGGGGGTCTATTTTATACTTTTTTATATGTATCTATATCTATCCATGATTGGTGTAATATATGGTTTTGTGGATGTGTTTCTTAATTTAAGTGTAGTCAGCCCTCTGTATCTTCGGGTTCTGCATCCATGGATTCAACCAACCACAGATTGGAAATAATTGGGGGAAAAAATTCCAGAAAGTTCCAAACAGCAAAACTTGAATTTGCCACACTCCAGCAACTATTTACATAGCATTTACATTGTACTAGGAATTATAAGTAATCTAGAGATGATTTAAAGTATACGAGAGGACAAATAGTATACCATTTTATATGAGCGACTTGAGCATCTGCAGATTTTGGTATCCGTACGGGGTCCTGAAACCTGTGGATATACAGAGATGGCTGCAAATGGTTATCATACACCATAGGTCACTCTACAACTTGCTATTTTCACTCAGCTTTATGCTTTTAATATTTATCCGTGTAAATACATAGTTCTAAGCACATTCATTTTAACTAAAGTATCATTGTATCGCTGTTCCACAATTTATCCATTCCCCTACAGATAGACATTTAGATGGTTCGATTTCACTTACAAACAATGCTGTATGTGTCTTCATATGTACCCGTGCAAGAGTTTCTCTAGGATATGCACCTAGAAATGGAATTGCTGGGGTGAAAGTAGGCATTCTTCCAATTTTACTAGATACTGCAAAGTGACCTACCAATTTACACTTCTCACAGCAGTGGGTGGGCATTCCT